AGCTTTGTGAAATTTCCATTGTAAAAAAGATTAAAATGAAGTCTTCATTAATGTTTAAATAAGTTAGCTTGCACCTCACTTGGCCAGAATACCATCACCCATGGGTTGTACTGCTAACTAAGTTATTAGCGTATAATTTTATAAAATGTATTGAAGATTTGTTTTTACATCTAAGGTTATAGATTTTATTGATTGTGTTTTAATTTGATCAGAAGTTGTCTTTTCTTTCAAAATTTCAGGTCATCAAGTATTTATTCAAGAATCTCTATAAGACATCAACTGTTAAACTTTAATCTTTTCATTTGGTTATTAAAAGATACTTCTAGAAGTATTTTCATGGCATTTTGAGTTCGGGTTAAATTATGGAGTTTTACTCTATGAGTACATAATGAAAATACAGAAGCTCTAGGTGCAGCGTGATTTTTACTTTTTAATCTCTCTGTTTTAAAACAATTCAGGTCCCAAGTCATTTGCGAAGGCATTTGCCAATGGCTATCTAATTGGAGAAATTCTACACAAGTTTGAACTTCAGGATGATTTTTCAGAATTTTCAGAAAGCAGGTTAGTGAGATTAATCCTTACTTTAAAAAAGGTCAATTCCATTGGCATTTGGATGGTTTTAGCCTCCAAAATTAACGTTTAAGAATCATCAATCTCAAGATCCCCTTTAAACCTAAACCAGCCAGGAATACCTTTGGCATAGAAATTGTTGCTTCCCCATGCATACATGCTTCATTGTCTCAGGAGTACAAAGGAGAGAAAGTTCCATGCTTGCAGCAAGACCTCATCTACAGAAGGGACCTACTTTAATATCTTCTGTGTTTCTTTAATCTTAGGCCACATTACTTCTTATTGTGTTAATTGGTTCTGCTTTCTTTTAAGAGAAGAAATGAAACAGCATACAGTGTCCCAGCCAATTAGTATTTTTGTCTGTGTTTTAAAATAGAACTTAACTAATAGTAAAAACGTTCATAATATATTTTTTTTTGTTTTTAGCAACTATATTGAGATAAAATTTACATACCTTAATCTGCCATTTTAAAGCATGTGATTCAGTATACTCTTCTTTGATTCCCCTAGCAGATTTAGTTCTCTTTTCTGTTTGTTCCAATAATACTTTAGACAACATTTTTCTTATCACATTAAGTTATAATTATTTATTTATATGTCAGTTCTTTTCAGAGTGCCTGACACACAAAGGTGCCCGAACAATGGTTCGTGAATGAATAGATTGCAGAGTTGCTGAAAGTTACAGAGTGTGTTAATTCTTTGTGCTCCTAGCTTTGTCCCTGGCCCACAGCAGACACACAATGATATTTCTCTATTGAATAAATGAATGATGTTAAAAAGTATACCTGTTTAGCCATAGAAAACTTAAAGGACCATACTGACCATATTATAGACATGCAGTATTTCAGATGTACTAAATTGGCTCTTATTAGGAGGGCCATAGAGGGCCTTTATGTGAAATAGAAAAAGGGACTCTATCTGAATGGATACAACTGTGAAAACACAGGTTTTAGTGAAATGAGAGGCCTTTGTGCAAAGACCAAGGATGGAGGAAGCAGCGTCATGCTACCTTTGGACAGGTGTGTCCCTGTTTATCGTAATGTGTAACAGTCTTGCTTTTCACCCACTGCAAAGGACTAACTTCCTATCCCAGTGAGAGTCATCACAATCCTTAATATGGGGAGAGGGACCTAATGTCCTGACAACCAAATACTATCAATCTTTACTCCTTGGAACAGCCCCCTTTCTCCCCAGGGCACACAGTCTTTTAAAGAAAGCAAAGATCAGTAAATCCATCGATATGACCTTTGTAATAGTGTATTTGGTGGGAAAAAGGATTGTTCTTTGTTAAAGCCTATCTTTTTAGGCAGCTGTCTAGGCCAGAGCTCATGATTTGGGGATTTCATCAATATTTTTAGTTTCTTTAGTCTACAATGTAAACAGCAAACTAAGTATATGTTGCTAATAACTTGAAGTTATTTGCTTTGGAAATTACTTAATCCCATCTAACTCTGAAAGTTCTCTGTTCTAGAACATCTTTAGTCCATCTCAATGGGTGAAAAATGAGCAGAGTAGTTAAAAGACTGAAAAGTAAAGAAACTTGGATATCCCTGAGAGAGCAGCTTCTACTTACCTTGTCAGATGTGTTCCCTCACCAGGTGACAAGAGGGAGAAGAGACAGGTAATCCCTTGGCAGATTAGAACTGCAAGCAGCGAGGGAGAAGACTTCTCAGAATACATTCTTTATTCCTTAGAGTCATCATTTACATCATATGCTTTGTCTCCAGAGCAAAGATGTCCCAGCGGTTTCTCTGTGTTCAAAAACAACTGTCGATTATCATGTTATACTGATCGAGCAAGTGCTTGCTATAAGAAGAGCGGACTTGCATTCATTTACATAGCCGTTATACTCCTGAAATTTTGATTGGTTGGAAATTTGGAATAGATATTAAAAACTTCCAGAGAGAAGTACTGTTATATACTGGGTACTTCGGCCTGTCTGTAAAAGCCATTTTAAAGCCAATGTGTAACTGAATCATAATATTAGTGGGCTTATTCTGCATTATGGGGGCCATGTAATCTCTCTCCTGATTTCTGCTATTCCTAACCTCTGCAGCCCAAGGTAATGACTCAGGCCAAAGCTCTGACAAGTGGGTCTCAGGCCATATCTTTCTAAATATGTATAGTAGACTAGCCACTCAGGACTCCTAAGATAGGAAAATCAAAAGGGGGTTATGGTGCTGTCCAAGGAGTGTAACCACAAGGCATCAATCTGACGATCCTCTTTCACAGTCATATTCTTTAAAACATGATCTGCTTTGTTCTAATCATTTTAGGCAAATTGTTGTTATCTCAAACTGTAAAGGCATTCGTGGGTGAACAAATTGCAAAACTGGACATGGCAAGACCTGAACAAATATTTACTCTTATTGTCGATTATTCCCTTGTAGCATTCATTCTGTCGCATAGGCTCATTAAGCCCTAGATCACTTGAGGCCTCTATTACAACACTTCCCTCAGTTTATCACTATTTGTTTACTCATCTGTTTTTCCTACTATGAACTCTTCAAGGGCAGGGACTAACCCCTTATATGTTATTTGCATAATAAATTTAATAAATAAATCCTTCATCTTATCTTAGCCAAGAGGCTGAGAAGCGATTAATAAATAAATCCTTGCTATAATGGATATTCAATAAATGTTTGTTGTTGAGAAAGTAAATTAATAAATGAATTAAATAATGAATTTCTTCTAAAATATGAGACTAATTTGAAAATAGGTGATTAAAAAATAAATATAGCATGATTAGAAAGTTTTTACTGATTCTTAAAGTAGTAATAGAAACTGTAAAGTGATCACAAAATTAATTTGATTGACTAGCAGATACTATTTAATTAAATATTTTCGACAGTACCCAAGGACATTATTTAGGGTTGTCAGTGCAGTGTTTCAGGCTATTTTCACATTAAGTTATTTATTTATGTCTCATAATAATATCTAGTAATAATATCATTTAAAGAAATGAATATTTAAATTGCAGTTTTGCCTTCTGAATAAAATATTATCCAAAACCATAGTTAAGTTCTTCCATTTAGAAGGAGAAATCTAGTTACCTGGTTTTATACTGACTTCTTGTAGAAATTCTAGCATCTATTTTAGCAGAAAAGTGTTTAAAATTGATGTTTTAGTTTAGCCATTCAAGAGAAATAACTGCATGGAGTTCAGGACAATAGAAAAGCTCAATGCATTTCCAAGATTGAGTGGTTTTAGAGAGGAATGATATATTTAAAAGAACGTGGGAAAATTCAGAATATTGGATTATTATAACACCTCTGGTGCTTGTTTGTTTATAATTCAATGCCAGTGTCTAAATATGTAAAATATTTTAATGCCTAGGGTTTCAGGTGCCAAACTCAATAATTTTTCTCGCTTGGAGCCAACACTTCACCTTCTGGGTGTGCAGTTTGATCAGAACGTGGCCAAAAACATTATCATGGAAAAGCCTGGAGCAGCAACAAAACTTTTATATCAATTGTATACTGCTCTTCAGAAAAAGAAGAAAAGTGGACTGACTGGAGTGGAAATGCAAACCATGCAGCCCATGGCTAATGTGAGACTTCAAAACATGAAGAGTGAAGCTTTTCGAGATGTAAGTACACAGAGAAACATAAGTGTATCAATGCGAAACTTGGTAAAGAGAAATGACAGAGATGTTGTGTTCTCAAAGAAGCCCCATTGAGTATAGATATCCATTATGTATGTTATTGGCCATACTTGGGTTTTATTTTATATTAATATTTTCAACATGTTTATCCATGTTTGATGTCTCCCTCCAGTCCTATCCACATTTACAATAGCATATCAAATTCTGTTTGTCCCTAATTCCCAGTGCTTTTATGTCTGTTCCTCTCTCACTGTCGCTACCCCAATCACGTCTGCTCAGATCTCCTAAAGAACTGTTGCAGCAACCTGCTAATGCGTCTCCCGATCTGTAGGCTTTCTGCTAGAAGTTAATCAACTGCTAGCTGAATCCTTCCTAAATTCTGCTTTCAAGACCTTTCACTAAATGATCTCAAACTCTCTTGCTCACTTTATTCCTCATAGTTCTCAGCATAAAGTTTTTCTTTCTTCTACATTGGTTGGCAGCCTGTCCCTGAACAGGACTTGGGCATTCCTGCCCTTCCCTCTCTCTAACCCAAGCTCACCTTTCTCATCTCTCCTCTTCTCCCAAACTTTTCTCCATTTACTTCTGTGCAACCTTCCCAACACACATGAACTCCTCACATGGACCTCCTAGGGCACAGGTAACTCTCACTCTCTGGTGGTAACCTCCTGTTGCTAATATTGTTGCTAACTTTCATTATTTATTTGTCTTATGGCCTCACAAAATTTTTAGTTTCTCAGATTCAAGGGATATATGCCTAGTACAATGCTTTAAACATTGCACGTACTCATTAAATGTGTTTTAACTGATACCACTTTTTAGTTAATAATTCCCTCCAGTTCCTGTGCTATTTCATCGTGGTGAGGGAAAGGCATTCACTTTTCCAGATCTCTAGGATAATGGGGAGTGCTGTGCTGATGCAGTGTATTAAATAGAAATGTACTTGATTAAATTTTAAAATTTAATTTATGAAGCAACAATAACACAATAGATGCGAGGGCCATCTCTACATTTAGATTTATCTATTCTTAATGGACATCCTTATGAGCTTGGAAGCAGAATGAACTCAGGACTCATGGAGAGCTAGAAATTAGATTAGGTTTAAAGCTGAATAACTTAGTATTGCATCCTGCCTCCCTCACTTGCAAGCTGATTAACTTTGGGCCAGTCCCTGGCACAATCTCGATCTCAATTATTCCAAATGAAAAACAATGATGATTATCTCTATCTGCCTCAGAGTTAGGCTTTTTTTGTAGCTTCGAGAAGACAATGTGTAAGACAATTCTTTATAAAGTATAAAATAATCAACAGTAACAGGTACTACAAGAGCTGTGTAGATGAGACCAAACAAGAGACCATTGGGTTTAATGCTGGGCATGGATGACCTACCAGAATCAATCATTCATTCATTGAACAAATATTTGTTTGGCTCTTATTTTATGTCAGGCTCTTACTTTGAACCTAAACCTCTGAGGGAGGGAAATGTTTCAGTAGAGTAGTGTGGATTGCAGTGAGTTGAGAAGTAAATTGGACATGAGGAAGAGAGGGGAGCACGGAATATTCTTTCAAGAAATGTGGAAGTAAAGGAGAAGAGAAAATAAGAACAGTAGCTGCGAGAGAGGAGCTCGAGGGAAGCGTGAGATTGTTTGGTTTATAGATATAGATATTGGGACAACTTGCTGTTTGAGGGAAAAGAATCAATGCCGGGAGGTGACTGGTGTGAGGATGAAGTGGAAGGAGATCCTCTGGGGAAGAAAAGAGGAGGAATGAGTCAACAGTTCCAGTGAAGGAGGAGATATCTTAAAGAAAGTAGAGATGACTTTTTCTTTGATACCGATGGAAGAAGAGATAGGTGTTTGTCACACAGTGATATTAGTAATAACTAAAATTCAGTGAACATACACAGTGAGGTGCCAAGCCCTGTTCCAGGTGCTTTGTGTGTATTACTTCACTTGATCTTTAAAACAGTCCTACAAGATAGATATTTTTCTATTCCCATTTTGCCAGTGATGAAACTGAGGTCCAGAGAAGTTAGGTAACTAACCTTGCCCAACTTCACGAAGCTAGTAGCTAAAACTCTAACCCAGGCAGCATGACTCTAGAAACTGCACACTTAACAGTGCATATGATATCTCAATGGGTATTTCCTGGGTTGAGGGAAAAGTAAGAATTAAGTTAAAGATATATGTGTGTACACACACACACACACACACACACACACACACACACACACACACGATGTTCAAGGACCTTACATTTTCGCTGCCTCTATGAAGTTGGAGGCCAGGTCATTTTTAACAGAGAAAAGAGCAGGAAGGTGTGTCAAAGTCAGGTCAAAGTTCTTTAAATGTTATTCTGAGTAAGTGCCAGTATCTTACTGAGTATCTACGGAGTCAGCATTAGAAGAGAAGGACCAAAAATGGTTTGAACAATACCGTTTCTTTTTGTTTTTAGTAAGTCTTCAGCTCCTAAGGCAATTACCGTTGGGTACAAAAGTTTTAGTTAAGTACTTTAGTCACGTTGCTGTGCCCCACTTCACAATCTCCTTTGAAGTTTCGCTTGCTTGTTCACTCTCGTTTCCAGTAGCCTGGAAGTTTTAATGTTTCCTCACTTGTTACTGGGAATTGGCTCAAGTAATGGAAAGAATCTGGCTTCTTATATTATCTCTTATGTGTTGAAATTAGTTTTACAAATTTATTTTTATGAAAATGTATTTCCAAGAACTCAAATACCATTCATTGAAAATTAAACTCAGGGCAAAAAAAAATTTTACTATAAAAGTATATATGAGACTATTTTGCTAGAAGGAATTCAGATCATGTGTGTTTTTATTCTCCTGATATCACTTAAAGATATGAGTGCCTAGTACAGAGCCTGAAATTATTTTAACCATCAACAATAGTAATTCATAGAAATTTTATTTTGAAGACAAATTATGTGTGTTTATAATGACAATATGCTCTTTATTCTCTAGTAACAGAATCTTTTGAAATGCTTTCTTCATTTAGAGACTTAGAAACCTGATACCACGTCAAACTGATTTCAATCTGATGCGGGTTACACACAGGTTTCAAGAAAAATATAAACACATGAAAGAAGATCTTGTCCGCATGCATTTTGAGAAACTTGAAAATATTCAAAAACTCAAGGAAGAACAAAGATGTTTTAATATCGAAAAGGTTTTATAGAACAATTTTAACAGAAACTCATTAGTGCATAGTATACTGTTTGCGATTGATGCCTATAGTTCACATTGCATAAGCATTAATGTAGCACAAGTTGCATGTGCCTGATGCATGACCGATGCTTTGCTCTGATCTCACCTCTCTCTCCCTTACTTTTTCCTCTCTCCATCACCACTCTTGCTGACTGTCACCTCCACCTGTGGCTGAGAACAAGAACTGCCATTCTCTGGAATGGCAGGACAACTTGATCTCTTTCTAAGTTGTCTGGTAGAAATTAATGCTTCAGATGTTTTAGGGATGGGGGTTGCTGCTGGCTACTCCAGAGAAGGCTATGACCTTTGTCCCCATGAGGGACACAGAGTGGACATTATCCCCTCTCTTCTCCCTCTTTTGCAACCCCTTCCTCTTCCAGCCATTTCTGTCTTCCTGGCAATGTGGGGTTGGGTGGGGGGAGATGCTCTGCTTGCTTCCCTTTCCGACACCCTTAAATGTCTCTTAACATCTTCCCGGCCCTTCTTGCTTTGACTAACTCCCTGCTGCTCTCACATTTCTCTGAAAGTCTTTAATGATCTCTGGTGCCCTTAAGGACATCAGACGACAGTGGTGTGTGTGGAATCAGTAAAGACTTTTAAGAGAATTTCAGGTAGCTGTCTGTATGGAATATGTAAACTACAGGCAAAAGAATTATAGTTCTACTCAGTGTACTGTACATCACTTTTTAAATTCATGTATTTAGGATGATAAGAAAGTAACATATCCTGAATATAGTCAGCTCCTTGTAAGGAGTGGGGGATAAAGATGAGAGACCAACTCTGGAAGATCTTAGGGTCCCGTTACTTGCCAGAGAGTGGCTAAAGGATGGGGCTTCCCCGGGCAGTGCGTGGTAAGGAGACGAGGCACTCTGACAGTAGTGTTTACATTGAGACGGAGTGCCAGCACTCCATATGCAGCCAGCCTGCCCGGCTTCGATGGGCCAAGTCTAATGCAGCAAGTCTCCAAAGAAAGTTGGGAAAAACAAAATATGACATCAGTAAATATTCTGGAATAAATTATTTTGTTAAAATGATAAGAAGCAAATAGGACAAAAAGAGTGCCTATGTTTTCTTGGTTTTCTTAAGAAAAAAAAAAGATAAACATATTGCAGTTAAAGAAAAATTTACATTTTAGAAAATGAACTGAAGAAAAATTTTAAATTATACTTTCTGACTTTTTAATGGTGAATTGAAATTTCTTATCTTTGGATATAGGAATTAATGATCTTGTTAGTTCTAATATAATGTTTTAGTAGTAAAGTCATAATTAATTTAAAATGTTACCTCTTAAATGATTTTTAAACATGTTTTATCTGATTTTCACTGTATTTTTTCAATTGTGCCCTTCTGCTTATATTCTTCTTAAAATAATTGCTGTCTAGATAGAGAAGAGATGATTGAATAATGATGTCACATAATTTAGTGTTAGTTCAATATTTTATATAGCCTCTGAACTCATTGTTTAAGTGTGGCCAAGCTTTGCGGAAGCTTGTTATTTCTGTGAGCTTCCCAGGAGTCCTCCCAGAGACTACCTCCTAGATGCAACTTTCCCTTCAGACCATCTTCAGAGGCAGATTTTTCCCTTTCCATAATCGGGCAGGTCAGGGAGGTGGGACCGGGAAAGAATTAGTCTTCTTTGTATTTGGGACACGTTCCTTATCACCACCTGGAATGAAAATGCACACATTAGACTGGCATAATTTGAGGACTCCAAATTTGTGTTTTAATATCACACTTTTCGAAATAAGTCACATTGACACCTGCTTCATAACATTAATCGGTTGTGACGCCTAGGCCATTGGTTAATTGCCGAGTTCTGAAAATTTCAATGGAAAAATTGTATATATATGTACTTGTGCGTGTGTACCGTGTCTTATTATTCTGACAAACTAAATTACTAAACTAATGTATGTGGGATATTCAGCAACGCTTGAGCAGAAGACGGCAAAATGAAATAATGGCCAAAATCCAAGCAGCTATCATACAGATTCCTAAACCTACATCAAATCGTACTCTGAAAGCACTCGAGGCCCAAAAAATGATGAAAAAGAAAAAAGAGGCAGAGGTAAGTGACAATACTTTAATATTTTGTTGTGTTTATCTTAATAAAAGAATGACCTTTCCCTAAAACATACAGAGAGACTTCCTAAAAATTCTTACTTTATTTTCAAATTATGTCTGGCATTGCCCCTTCTCGTTCATAACTTCTCCACTGTATGCATAATCAATCCATATTATACCGTTATTTGTTCAGAAACAGAATGTAGCTTTAGGCCAGGGATAACAAACTCCTATTAAATGACAGTACCTGTCTGGACTCCTGTGTTCAGGATTCTATGGTCACTAATCTAGGCCAGAAAGGGGACTGTCATAATGGGTCATGACTCCCATGGGTACAACAGGGACCAGCTGAAGTACACATACCATACATGTGCCATTCCTATGATGTGTTTTCACTCAATTTCTCCCCACCGTGCTCTTTTTTGCATGTCCCACCGTTTTTTATAAATCCTAGAAATGTTAAGTGATTTGCTTGCTATCAGTATATTTAAATTTAAGATACCTACACAGGTGATATTTTACTTGACCATAGTAACTGTCAATCATTCTAAAAGATACAATCTGATTCTATTTCACAGGGGAGCAATACTGCATATTGTTACTAATTCCTTCAGTCTGCACTACATACTGCTACAATGGTGTTAATGATATTTTCACTCATGACCTTAAGAAAAAGATTATTAGCTACCACTTATTGAGCATCTACTATACGTCAGGCTGTGGAGTGGGCACTTCACATTATCTTTAATTTGTAAATAACTCTCTAGGTAGGGTATTATTTTGCCCATTTTGTGGATAAGAAAACAGACTCAGAAAGCCGATGTTTTACTCAAGTTCACAATGCTGGTAAAGTAGAGATTGATAGGTTTCTCTGATGTCTAAATCCATTTCATTTTATATGAATCCATATTTCCTTTTTTTAATATAAAGAAAATCCTGTACTTGTATTCTAAAAAATACTAACCATAGAGGCTTTTTTTCTGACCTCATTTTAGTAAAGTATATAATTCTTATATTTCTCAGAGTCGATTAAATTTTATTAATAAAAATTTGCAGTGGATAGAAGATGAGCTAAAATGAATTTTCAGAGAGCAAATTCATAGTGTAAATAAAATTGTATGAGAAATGTTTAAAACACCTGAGACAATGATTTTTAAATATTTATATCCAAAAAATACTTTCTCTCATTTAAAGGAATTACAATTAAAAATGCCAACTATACTCCAATAAAAGAATTTTTAATGGAAAAAAAATCATGTCCTGACTTTTGCTAATCTTCATTCTTATTAAATGTCCTTTCATATACTTTTAGAACTAAAATTATGAACTGAATGATTCAGATTAAGCAATTTTCACATTCTTTCAGGTATATTTGGCCTAGAGCAGAAGTAACAAATAAGAATTTTAAAAATATTTTAGAATATAGCTTTTTATGTCTCACTTCCTAATTAGCTTTAATTAGTAGTACATGTCACCGTATAAATGTGAAAGAACATGGTAAATGAAGATCTTTCAATGGTTTTTAGAGGCAGAAAACTGATAACGAATTTTCTTTAAAGGATGTGGCCAATGAGATTAAGAAGTTTGAAGCATTAATAAAAAAGGATCTCCAGGCAAAAGAAAGGTGGGATGTTAACTATTTTAATAACCACAAAACTGTATTCTTTTCTACCTGTAACTTTTGAATATTTAGAAATGGTTTACCTGAAATAACTGTCCAAAGATCTTTTTTCTTTGTAGTCTTCATTAAGAGAGTATATATAAAGGAAGATTAATGGCCTAAAATTCAGATTAATTGTTCATTAGCAACTTTTGTAAAGATGAAGAGGAAAAATGTCTTCACGAAAAGTGTCTTCATTAACTTCATGAAATATGAAGTTAAAATTATTTTCTATGCTGTGCTTGCTCTTCTAAGTTCACATGCATTTTTTACACCTTCTTTAAAATTTTCAAGTTTACATTTGTCACAGTAAAGCCTTTATTAGATTCTAGTTGGTTTCTCTTGTGTTGCATCTGTTGCATCATCAGAATTTCAATGAAGAGTTGTTGAGTGAATTTGTTGACCAGATGTCACTAAATATGTCAGTTCAGTGAGTTCATTGTAAAAAGATAAAGATGTCTCCCCTTTTTGTTTCCTATTAGGAGTCATTGACTCACAGGAAATAGTTGATCAGGGGATATATATGTAGGAGCAACTTGTGTTTTGTTGTTTTGCATTTTTACATGGAAACTACCAACCTCTACTCATTTATGATTCATAGAATATGAAATAAATCTTTGTCAAAAAATAAAAACACACAAATTATATACTTCAGTTCCATATTAATATTTCTAAGAGAAGGGAGTAGAGCCAAATGAGGAAGAATAAAGAAAAAGCTAGAAAAAGAAATGATGAGGAAGTCAGATGAGGAGGAAAATGAAGAATACACACAGTACTTTTCCTCCCACCCTCAGCAGAAACTCCTGATGCCCTATTCGGATTCTCACTCCCATTTGTCAGTGCTCCCCAGACTCCTAAAGAAAACATAATCCAAGTCTACTCACCCCGTTAGTCACTACCCGAACCTTACCACATCCATCCTGACCTTGACCTATGAAACCACTGGATTTCTTCCGACTCTTTCACTCATTTCACCAGCCACATGCTCTGAAGTGGTAAACAGATGACATTCACCAAAATGACCGTCTTAAAATATTGAATATGTTGTTACTTGTTGATGAACGGTGTTCTCTGTAGTTCCATGGCCCCTTTCTCGGGTCTCCACACAATTTAGCAACAAGAAGTAACACCAAGCACAGCAACATCTTCCAATCCCTCAACCAGCATCCATTTTGATTGATTAGTGTTTTAAAGATCATCCCTGTGCAATACAGATGCACACATTCACCTTGCTCCCTATTGCCTTTGTTAACTCAACCTGAACCTAGGTCTTTCTATAAGTTAGCTTTAGAAACCACAAGAGTGGGTGAGATTAGATGGATGTTTACTTCTTTCCCGTGTAATAGAAATCAGAATGTGATTAGTCCAAGGTGTGTGTTGCAGTACCAAGGTCATCAAGGACTGAGGCTCCTCCTTTCCTTTTTCTTCACTGCCCCATTGTGTGGTTTTCATCCTCAATGTCACCTTCACCATACAGCATGGCTGCTGGAGCTCTGGCCATCAAGAAGGAGGATAGGCAAAAATCATTATCTTCAATCTAAAATAGTTCCTTTTAAGAGCCTTCTCACAAGTCCCATATAACATTTCTGCTTACATCTTATTGGCCAGAATTCAGTCACATGGCCATGCAGAACAGAATGGAAGTCTGGGAAATGTAGTTTTTAGCTAGGTGCAGTGTTTTTTCTGAATAAAATTTGAAGGGCTCTGTTTGAAGGAAAAAGGGAAGGAAATAGCATTGCCTATCACAAGTCCTTTCTCTGTAGAGGCTTCTTCTTGATTCTGTGAGAGACTTCCCATTGTGGGACCATGTAGTATTGACCCCCTCACTTCTCAGAGCAGCAGATTAGAGCCTGGGGTGGCAAGAGTCCCTGGACCCATCACCTATGGCTGTGATCAGCTTCATCTGAGACTGCAAATCCCTTTCAGTGTGCTGTACAAAAAGCATTTTCTCTGATGGCCCTAAGATGAAAAATGATGGGAAGCACTCGTCTAGAGCAGACTAAACTTTCAAAGAAAACAAAGCCGTAGCACAATACGGCCCTTCTTAAGCCTTTTAGTAATCACTACTTTTTTGGTTCATTCTGAATTCTTAGAATCAAGCATGTTTTGGGCTCATAGAGAAACTTCATACTATTTCATGCCAGAAAGCATTAAAATCCTCTTATAGGTGTCTCTAAGGAACAATTTCTTTTTTCTTTTGTGAAGAATAAAAGTGATGTCTCCATGTGAGCAACACAAGACCTCCCATGTCTATTCCCCACTATATGCAATTTCTTTATTTTTTAAGACAAAGAATAAATGCTATCTGCTGGTTTTTTCTTTAGCTGAGGTTGTTGGTTGGTGCAGTTTGACATTTTGATTCACCGATTTCCTTTAGGCTCTTCCTAGCACTTGCTTTTTTTATATTTATAAATATGGCCAAGAGTCCTATTACTAATAATTCATACACATACAATTATTAACTCTATGGAGGCCTGGCAAGCAAGCCAATATAAAGAAAACATAATTATTGCCCTCAAGAAATCCATATCTAGTGAAATGAATATTCATTCAAAAAGGTGTCATGTAGCTTCATTCAGACCTTATTGTAATAAGACAGTGGATGGGTGAATGGGTGGATGGGTAGATGGATGGACAGACTGATAAATAAAGGGGGAGCAGCATGTTAGATATATTATTATCAGCATAAATACATAATAACCTATGCTCAAACCAGGACAAAATCTTTTTAAACACACATATGTAAAAATATAATAAGAATTTTGATGATCTAAAAAAGTTATGCCACATAACTTTCATACTTAATTGTACTAAATCTGAATAAATAAATAGGGTTAAACTTTGACTTTGATATTATTGAGGCTTTGATAGCTACACAAGTTCTGCTCAGTGACTGTCAGTGACAGAGTACAACTAAAGGTTGAGCCCCTGCTGGAAGAATAACCAGAATTTTAGTGTATGATTTTAAAATGTATGTTCTACTTGTATAGTGCTTTTTAGCTTATAATTTGAAACTTAACAGACATCAATTAGGCATACAAGGCACAGGTACAAGGAGGAGTAAAATAAGATATTTTTCTTATGAGTTCACAGTTCAGCTGGGAGCAGCAAACCTACAAATAATGCAGTATAATATAATAGAATGCAATTATTACATCATTAAACATAAGTTAACTATACTTTAATAAGAATACTTCTATCTATATGAGAATTGATGACTGTTTAGTCCCTATATACCATAATAATGTGTTCTTCTCTTTAAGATTGTTATGTTTTAAAACAAATATAGTAATAACTTATAACATTAAATTCATAGTACTAAAAACAATAATTATTCATGATACTAAAATTTATTATTTCTTGGCAAGTCACATTATGATATATCTTATACCATTGTATTGTATTCTGTTTATTTTTAAAGAGGTATGCCGATGAGAATTGATTATTTGATCCTTATAGACATAAAAATGTATCTTTTACATTTAATGATAACTTTTGAATGAATCTATAAATTCTCTTCTAAGCTACCATCTGTCTCACTAAATTGAGTGTGTTTGCTCTGTGTTGGTGAGACCACCAGGCTCTTCCTGATCATTTAATTTTGGACATGATGTAGGACAAAGCCCCGAGGTAGGTCTTCTCACCTTGGGTCCCCAGGACTTGGGCGAGAGGCTAGGTCAGACCTGTGCTTGCAAGTGTGGCATAAGATTCCAGTAAGAGCTGGGTCACTGCCCTAAGCAGTCACAGGGTCCCTGGGAGTTCATAGAGCAGCTTACATTTGCAGAGGTGAAAGAATGGTAGTGAATGGAATCACCCATGGAAATACTCTTAGTGTCCTTACATTAGTATAGCTGACCACCGACCCTTTAGAGGTATGCCTTCCCTGATGCTTGGGTTATCAATGTTGTGCTACTGGTGACTCAAAACATGGGAGGCAAGAGGCCTAGAAGCAGCAGGAAGAAGAGGGAGAGAAATTCAGAACCTCTGGGTAGAATGAAGATCATGAGAAGTGAAAGAACAAGGAAGCGATAAGCCTAGAAAGAAGCCTATGCCAGGGACCTCACAGAGACGGAGTCCAGAAATAGGCTGAGGCAGATGGACTCTGTTGATAAGCTATAGGTATAACACTGAAGTTCCAATATTCACTTTCCTAGTATTAATAAATTAACAGAGCACTCAGGGGAGCCTTTTCCTGAGTTCCTCCTCCACGGTCACAAGTAGTGGCCTGTGATCACATTATTTTTCAATCTAAAATAATAACTATTGTCCTTAGTGCATCCAAGACTTCTTTAGATACAGCAGGCCAGACAACTACTGATCTGTTAAATACTTACTCTGATGATGACTACATTAAAAAAATCCAAAAACGCCTCGAAGAAGATGCTTTTGCACGAGAACAGAGGGAGAAAAGACGCCGGAGACTGTTGATGGACCAGTTAATAGCCCACGAAGCACAAGAGGTAAGATATTTAGATGTCGATTAAATAATAGTGCTGGAAGTTTTACAAAGTATAGTCTTCTATACACATATATGTGTTTCTTATGTATGCATTGTCTGCCACTCTGACTCTAATGTCAGCAACATATCCTCACGTCATAAAAGCCAGTATCTTCCAGAAAAACATAAAGCAAAAACAAAAAAGCCTACATAAAACATTTACTAAAGATTCTAAATCCTGGTGATGGTTATACAACATTGTGAATGTACTTAATACCACTGAATTATACACTTAAAAATGACTGAAATTGTGAATTTTATATTGTGCGTATTTTACCATAATAAAAAATTCTGACACAAATGGAATCTAAAATTTATTGTCAACTATGTGTATCTGTTGCTACCTTTGGAGGTAAAGGGGAATTTTCCCCCCAGTTTTACTGAGCCATAATGGACAAATAAAAATTGTATATATTTAAGATGTACAACGTGATTTTTTGATATATGTGTAATTATAAAATGATTACTATAATCAAACTAATTAACATACGTATCACCTCACATAGTCACCAATATTTTGTATTCGGTGAGGATACTTAAGATCTGCTTTTATAATTTCAACTTTTTTATATTCCACATGTAAGTGAGATCATGTAATATTTGTCTTTCTATATCTAGCTTTTTGCATCTAGCATAATATCCTCTGGGTTCATCCATGTTGTCACAAATGGCAGGATTTCCTTCTTTTTAAGACTAAATATTAGTCAACTGTGTACATATACTACATTTTCTTTACCTATTCATCCATTGATGGGCATTTAGCTTGTTTCCATATCTTGGCTATTGTAAATAGTGCTCTTTGAGATATTGATTTAATTTCTTTTGGGTATATACCCAGAAGTGGAATTGCTGGGTCGTATGGTAGTTCTATTTTAAATTTTCTGAGGATCCACGACATTGTTTTCCATATTGGCTGTACCAATTTACATTCTCAGCAATAGTTTACGAGCATTCCCTTTTCTCGACAACCTTGCCAGTACTTGTTATCTCTCTTTTTTCTTCCCCCTGAGAAAAGCCATTCTAACAGGTGTGAGGTGATATCTTATTACGGTTTTTGTTTTCATTTCCCTGATGATTGGTGATGTTCAGTGCCTTTTCATATACCTGTTGGCCATTTGTCTTCTTTTGAGAAATGTCTACTAATTTTTCAATCGAGTTACTTTTTATTTTTTATTTTTATGTTTTGCTTTTGAGTTGTTTGAGTTCCTTATATATTTTAGATATTAACTGAAATGTGTGGTTTGCAAATATTTTCTCCCATTTCATAGGTTGCCTCTTACTCTGCTGCCGTCTCCTTTGCAGGCAGAAGCTTCTTAGTTAGAGGCCATTCCACTTGTCTATTTTTGCTTTTGTTGCCTGTTCTTTTGGGGTCATATCCAAACAATTATTGCCTAGACCAATGTTAAGCATTTTTTCTCCTCTATTATCTTCTAGTAGTTTTATAGTTTCAGGTCCTGAAAAGGAGTAAGTCTTTAATCCATTTTGAGTTATTTTTTGTATATGGTGTGAGATAAGGATACATCTTCATTCTTCTGCATGTGGATATTCATTTTTCCCAGCACCTCTTATTAAAGAGACTGTCCTTTTCCCATTGTGTAGCCTTGATACTCTTGTTGAAAATCAGTTGACTGTACATGTGTTGATTTATTTCTGGGCTCTTTATTCTATTCCATTGGTCTATACGTCTGTGTTTATGATAATACCACACTGTTTTGAATACATCTGTGTTTATGCCAATAACACATTGTTTTGAATACCACATTGTTTTGAATACTGTAGCTTTGTAGTTTTGAAGCCAAGAAGTGTGATACCTATAGTTCTGTTTTTCTGGCTCAAGATTTCTTTGGCTATGTTGAATCTTTGTGGTTTCATATGAATTTTTGGATTGTATTTCTATTTCTGTGAAAAATGCCATTGAAATTTTGATAGGTATTACATTGAATCTATAGATCACCTTAAGTATTATGAACATTTTAACATTATTAATTTCCAACCCATTAATATAGGTTATCTTTCCATTTATTTGTGTCTTGAATTTATTTCATCAATGTGTTATAGTTTTTGGTGTGCAGATATTTTGCCTCCTTAGTTTAATTTAGTCCTAAATATTTTATTATTTCTGTTGCTATTATAATTGGCATTGTTTTCTTAATTTCTTTATTAGTTCATTGTTAGTGCGTTAAAACATAACTGATTTTTATGTGTTGATTTTGTATCCTGCAAGTTACTTCAGTTTGTTTTTCAGTTTAACAGGTTTTTGTTGTCGTTGTTGTTGTTCAGGTCTTTAGAGTTTTCTACATATGAGATCATGTCATCTGCAAACAGAGATAATTTCACTTCTTCCTTTCTAATTTGGATACCTTTTCTTTCTTTTTCTTGCCACTTGCTCTGTCTAGGACTTCCAGTACTATGCTGAATAGAAGTGGTGAGAGTGGGCATCCTTACCTTATTTCTGATCTTAGAGGAATGGTGAAAAGCTGAAAGCTGTTAATCATACCATTGCATATAATGTTAGCTGCAGGGTTGTCATATGTGGCTTTTATTATGTTGAGTTACAGTCCTATTATACCTAACTTGTTGAGAGTTTTATCATGAAAGGATACTGAATTTTTTCAAAATTTTATTCCGCATCTACTGAGATTATCAAAAAGGGAGCTTTTGAATGAAAACAAGATGAGAAAGTCATTAGTCCTCTCAGTTTGTTCATTGGTCTACTCCAGTGGTTCTCAAAGTATGGTTCTTGGACTCACAGCATCAGCATCACCTGGAAACTTTTAGGAGTGTGAATACTTGGGCTCCACCTCAGACCTAATGAATCAGAAATTCAAATCACTGCTCAAGAGTGGAGCCTAGTCATCTGTGATAACAAACCCTTTAGGCGATTCGATGCAGCTACAGTTTGAGAATCACTGGTCAGCTCTTACACTGAACGCACATTGATTGAACCCCTTCTGTGTTCTGGGTACTTGTCCTAGTCCTGGGATACAAAGTGAGCAAGAATAATGAGAAACCTACTTTCACAGATCTTGCTCTTTGGGGGAGGATCTATAAACCAGCAAGCACATTAGAGTGTGAAGGCACAATGAGGTGATGGGAGGGACAGGCAACACCTAGGAGGGGAGTCCAGCCCTGGCTTCTGGAGGATGATAACACAGAAGCATGAGGAAGGATCAGGAGTTAGCTAATTGAAGGTGGGAGTGATTGTGGTGGGGTGGGATGAGGTTAATTTCTAGCAGAGGCCGAATTGGTGGAAGGTAAAATGTGTTTCCAGAGAGGATAGCATATGGAAAAGCTCAGAGCTTTTACCAAATTAATATGTCATCTGGCAGGAGTCACCAGAAGCCAAATCAATGAGCCTTATGAGCTATGTAAAGAGAAATGAGATTTTATCCTTAGGACAAGGGTGAACAGGAGTGACAAGGTCAGATTTGCCTTTAGAAAGTTCACTCTGGCTTTAATTTTGAGAATAGATTACAGGAGGACAAAACAAGTTATAGTTGTTGCTGCAATCCAGGTAAGACATTATCCTGGTTTAAATTTAGGATAGTGGCAATGGGAATGGAGAGATGTGGCTCCAGGAGCTATTCTAGAAATAAAATCAATAGGACTTAATGCTTTATTAGACGTGGAGGAGTGCAAAAGTAGGATAAGAGGTCAGATGTCTAGCTTGGGCAGCTGGGCAGATGGAGGTGTCATTTGCTGTGATATGGAAGATGATAAGAGGAACAGACTTGGGGAGGAAGGTGATTTGAGTTGTGAATGTAAATAGGACATATCTGTATGTCTAAAATATGAAAGAGCATTTGAAGATACTTCTTTTATTCACCTAACTACATCTGATCTGCTCAGTGGTTCTGTTAACTGAAGGGAAATACGGATTGTGTATGAATATGAAGAAGTGAAACTGTGTATCCATGGATTCATTCCCTTCTTAGCAAAAAATTCGAAGAATAACTCTGCTGTCATTTTGTGCTAAAAGGCTATTTCTCTTTTCAGATTCATATATCCTTATTTAGTCATCTTGATAGTCCTTCTTTCAATTAGCAGAATTACAAATTTTGAAAATTAAATGATTAAATGGATTTTAAAATACCCACCTATTTCAAGTTTCGTTAACTACCAATGGAATTTCAAACACACTTCAATTTATGTTGCAAAACACTTGGGTGCTGACCACTAGGTTTTTTTCTTTCTATTTTTCTGCTTGTAACCTAGGACTGATATTTACATGGAAAGTGGAGTGAGTAAATTCTTTCTGGTTTCTCTTCCTTTCCACCAGGATGCCATTAACATCGCTTTTTCAAGGCTCTAGCTAGAGAGATCATCAGAGATCCAGCAGCCTCGGAGACGTTAAGGAGAGTCAGTGCTCTGGATATTTCTGTCAAGGGAACTTCATCTCTGTGCTTTCTTCTTTGTGTTTGGGAAAGCTGCTGTTCCGAGACCCAGCTTAGGACACACAGAGAGGGGCTTCAGTTTCCACTTTCACCTTTCCACTAAGTGTGGTATTCCCAGCCTCCCTGTGCAACTGACACAAAAACCACTGCTTCACAGTGGTGGAATGGGAAATTCTCATGTGTCACCTGGTCTGTTTTCCCATCCATCCTTCTCTCCTCCAGAGAGAAAATGGTATTTGGCAGGGTTGGGATTTCCTCTGCTTCCCTCAAGTACCCACTGCTTTTTGGGAGCATGACATGAATCTCATGTCAGTCATGGATGATTTTGTTCTGGCTCCATGTGCACTGCATTTATTAGAAATATCTCAAATGTCTTCTCTAGCTTTCAAATTGTTGCATCCTGCCCACTGCCCCACCTCCCCCCGCCGCCCCGGAGTTAATATACCCTTTGTTTTAGATAGACTTGTGAAGAGAGAGCCAGAGACTGTGCTCAAATTGATATCTTGCCTAGTGATTTGTAAAGAAATATAATAATGTAGATGAAATGATGAAATTTAAAGTTAGAAAGATCACTTAGACTTTTTTGGGAGTAGGTTTTGGATATGGGTTGAGGGGAAGGCATGGTAAAGAGAGGCTGTTGTTGTCCAAGGCAGTGTCAATAGGTATAGAATAGAGTAGGGAGTGATTTAAAAACATACATAGAAGATAAAATAGACCACTTCTTTAAGAATTAGATGTTAGGAGTGATAAGAGAGGAATGAACTTCAGATGGCCCTAACATTTTAGGTCATAGAGTCATAGGTTTATAGGGTCCAACTGAGATGGGGAAATACTGGTGGAAGACCAGGTCTGAAGGAGACTTGTTGAATTTAAGATACTTCATAGGCATTTAAGTGGAGATATTCTGACTGTGAATTCAGTTTGGCTCCCAACTGGTTCTGTGGCCTTCTAGCCAGCATCTTGGCTAGTTCTTGAGATGCACTTCAACTCATCTATCTCTAGCTTCCTAGAATCTTTCTGTATTATTTTCTTGGGATTGGGATTTGGACACAGAACCCTTCTCCACTTCTTAACTAAAAGGCCCTTGACTACTTACTTAGCTTCTAGGTCTTTCTTGCAGAGCCACATTCCTCCACAAATGCTTCTTGGGCATCTTTGGAGAAGTAAGCAATGGTATGGACCAGAGTAAGAGAGTCTGGCAATCAAATTGGGGGTGTTTTGGACTGTATATCTAGCTAAAGCTTTTCCAACTATGGTTAAATATAATTAAAAGAGAAATGCGACTTCCGTTATTTTTTATTTTATTCATTGCAGATATAGAATATTTCACTTATGTTATAGGTTTAACAGACACCTGTAGGCTGCCCTGAACACTTAACTATAACATATCTGTGAGAAAATATTCCACATTTCAATGAAATTTTGAGGAAAAGTATGTTTCTAAAACATAAACTACTTGTACAATGGAACAAAAAATAAATCTTTTCCACTTAACTTTTGGGTGCAGGTCTTAATACACTTTATTATTTTTCATACTGAAGCTTCATAAACATAGTATTGACTCAGCCATTCAACAGTAATTTTCTTTTTTCCTTTTTAATCATAAAGTGTTATCATCCAAGCAATAATCAAAACATATCTGACAAGTCCGATTATGACCAGATCTCATCTTGACAACTAAATTGACTTTCCCTATAAACATAGTCAGATAGAATTCACTTGGAATAATAAATCAAGGTTATGTCACAAACAACTCCAGAATGTGGCAGGCATTTGAGGCTATGCTCAGCTATGCTATCATTTTACTGGTCTTAGCTGGCCTCGTTCAGATGCCTTTGGTCAGCATCTCTGGTGAGTTGGCTGGGGCTAGCTGACTTATGAGAGCTTAATCAGGTCCAACTGGAAAGAACGGTGCCTCTTACTATATGGCAGACATTTTCAAGCAGACCAGAAAATGTGATGGCAGTAGCAGCAGTCATAAGAGAATTAAGAAAGTAAGCCCAACATTTTTTTTTGGCTAATGTCTCATTGGTCATTTTAAGTCAATGGTCACCCCAAACCCTATATTTAAGGAGTAGAGAAATAGATTCTACTTTTTCATGGGACTGTCTACAGGATAATATTGCAAAGCTGTGGATGGAGAAAACTGAAGAACTTGTGGCCATTTTTACATTCTGCATCACCCCCACTATTGGGTCTCAAAAGGAAACAAATGATTAAATATTAAAGCTTCTAGAATGTTATAACTAAATGAGACTTATGTTTCAAAGTTGTTCATAATTTTATTTAATGGTATATGTTACAGGAAAAATATCATATTTACTTTCAGTTGAACTTTTATTTAATCTACATTTTTATGTAATTCCCAGGTTCAAGTTTTGGCATTTACCACAGAGTGTTGTTTTTATTTGTATATTGATTTCGAAAAAATATATACAGTATTTCTCCTGTAATCTCACAGTGGGAGAGATGATGTGAAACAGTGTCATTAAGAATGCCAGATTTTCTTCCTCAATAACTGGATGATTGAGTGTTAAGTGGATAACTCCTGTGCTTGGGTATTATTCTTCCTAGTCCTCCCCCTTGAGAACTTTAATTACCTTCTCCTTCCACATGATGTCTCTGTTTAGACAGAGTGAAAGAGCTTGAAGGGGCTTTCGAGATCATCTTCCACCTAAACCCCTCTTTTTATCTGTCAAGAAATAGACCCTGAAAATTCCTGTTACTTGCCCAAGGTCACACAGCCAATTAATGGTACAAGTGGCTGCAATGGCCAGGGCCTTCGATTCCCAGTTTTAATAATACTTTTCCCACTATTCACTTACTGGTTCCCCTTTAATTCTCTTAAAGAGAGCCAAGAGATTGCATCTAGTTTCTCTTTCAGATTACAACCATTAACACTTTCTAAAATAAGCAGTAGGCCATTTCCTCTTAGCCTCTTCTCCAGTCTTCCCATTCTGTCAGAGTTTAGCTTTTCTTCACACTGGTACTGCGATGTCCCCAGTGGGAACTAATCAGGTCTGCCATTTTCAGCCAGACAGTATCTGCATTTGTTTCAAAAACTACTAAATAGTTGTTAAGAGTACATATAGCACAACTCCAAATTTCTGAAAACATACTTGTAAATTGAGAATTATACCCCTTGTTTATAAAACCTTGAACACAACCACCTAACATATTTTTTCGGTCAAATATTAAAGGAATTAATTATTCCTTTAAAATAATTGGGAGTCGCAACACCAGAATGCTTCTTCTAAATACGAAAAGTTTACAACCTTTGTTGGACAATTTTATTTTTGTGACTTGATTTTTGCCACGTTCAAATTTAACTCAAATGGCAGAAATTGATGAAGATGAATACTGTGTTTCACACGTTATTTACGTGCAGCCCCCTTAGCCCTCTGAGAACCTTAGCCGTCTGGACATGGCCTTGTCAAATAACTGACTCTTCCAATGGTGATTGCAGGAGGCTTTCCGGGAGGAGCAGCTCATCAACCGGCTGATGCGGCAATCCCAGCAGGAGCGCAGGATCGCCGTGCAGCTCATGCACGTCCGGCATGAAAAGGAAGTTTTATGGCAAAACAGAATTTTCAGAGAAAAACAATATGAAGAAAGACGACTCAAAGATTTCCAGGATGCTCTTGATCGAGAAGCGGTAAACAATATCTCCCTTAAAACAATCTTTCTAAGGTGACTTTAGATCCTTCTACCAAGTCAAGGTAAACAAATCTGTCTTTAGTTGCCAATCACTGAATAAAAATTAATGTTTTATATGGTCTCTCTCTGCTATCTCCCCATTTTTGTTTTTGTGTAACTACATTGACAGCACACACAGCATCCTGTACACTCTCCCTTTAGCTGATTTTACAAATATTCAGCTCTCACCTCCAGTCCTTGTGTCTGCATGAATATTGATCTCAGTGTCTTCTTCAAGAACTGAATTATCTGGATAATTGTTTCAGTCCTCTTTTTTTGATAAGAGTAAAGTTGAATGGATTGAGTGCCATTTGCTTACATTAAATATGTTGTATTAAGCTAATCTTTTGAAGTGCTTATTTGACAAATACATTTGCTTCGCAAGCCCAGTTAATTAAGCGCAGAGTAGTACATCATTTATAACAGGGCTGGCCTCATTGTGGTGAGAAGCGTTCCCTGTTCTTTCTTTAACTGGGCTCGAATTGACTTCTGAGAGTTGAGACACTCAGGCCTGCTAGAGCCTCAAAGACCAGAACTGAGAGGTTCTGAAGCACCTGGAAACAGCTACATCCTTACTTCTCACGTGATTACCTTTCTCTAAAGCTGAGGTATCTGGCTCCCTGGCATCCCTCCCTCTGCGATGGCTGATTTCACAGTTTGAATTTATCACCTCCTCAGCAGTGACTGGTGCGTAAATAGGAACCAAATAAATAAATATTGAATTGAGTTTGTCAGAACAACACCATCACCTTTTCTTTCCAGTATCATTCACTAAATAAGCAAAATATATTTTATTCTCCATAGCATTATCATACTACTGCTTCGTTTTTGTGAAGAAGAGAGAAATTTTCGAAATCGTTTTAATTGTTATCGTTCTTAAAGTTTTGTTATTGTTTGTGGTGGGAGAAGAAGGAGAATTCTAGAAGGACTTTTAAATTTATTAAAAATTTTAGAGTCTGTTAATGATGCTCACAGGCTATTAGTAGCATTTCATGTTATTAATACTAATAGTATCGACCAGTGATTACATGGTCACTTCCTGTTGACAACATTCTCGTGGTTTTCCTCCTGTTTTCTTTGGCCGTCTCCCCTCAGCCTTCTTCGTAGTCATATTCTCCTGTTAATACCAATGCATTTGTTGTTTGTGTTCCTTAAAGCTTAGTCCTGGGCCTCCTCCTTCTCTCTCGATGTTATTTCCTCAGACAACCTCTTCAAAACCACAGAGTTATAATGACTGCACTAGACTTCTGACTCATGCTTCTATGTCTCCGTCCTCTGAGCCGTAGATTCATATGTCCAACTGTTTTCCCAACGTCTCCCTTCATAAATCTCAGAGACACCTCAAATTCCACGTTAAATAAAGCCAAACTATTGCCCCTTATCACCTGTCTTTTTCAAGTTCCATATCTCAACAAATGGCATCACTATTTATTCAGTTGTACAAGTCCGAAATCCCAGGGCCCACTTGAAGCCTGTTCCACTCATACTTCTCCATGTCTAAAGCATCACCAAGTCCTGTTGATTTCATGTAGCAAATAGCTCTTCGATGTGTCGGTTTTTCTCCATGTGTCCCCCACGCCCCCAGTCTCCACTGCTCCTGCTGCAGTGGTCTCCTTCCTCTATCTTTCGTGCCTGTGAATTGGCAGTCACAGTTGAGCTGTGCAAGAACATAACATTCTATGTTTCTTAAATCAGCCTAAGCGGAACTCCAGCAACTCACCTCACCCACAGAAATGCACAGTGGCCCAGGTCACAGGGCCAAAGTCGTCGGGGAAACACCCCAGCGATCACAAGCCCAGTCCGCTGCCATTGAGACCTCAGCTATCCCAGCCCACATATTGCCGTCAGTGGCACACGCCTTTGAAGAGGCTGTTCCAGCACTCATGGGTCCTTCAGATGTCACCCTCTGAGGCTTTACTACCTCCCAGGAGCTACCAGGGAGTGGGCTACACATCTTTCTCTACCTCCTCCTCAGACCTCCCGCTTTGAGTCACCTAGATTAATTTGCCTTTGAATTTAGCCTTTTAATTGAGATGGAGCCTCTAACAGTTTTCAGCTTTTCCATCCTGCAGAGATGCCCTAACGCAGGAGTTCAAAAGACTTCTGATTACCTGTTAGAAATGAAGAAAAGGGAAAATTAGAGAGTACTTACACAATTTGCCCGCGCTACTCACATTTTCTCTAAACCATTCTCCACTCTGTAGCCAGAGGAATCTTGTTGACTCTCGGATTTGACGACTACTTTCATGCTAAAAAATCATCCATGGCTTCCTTTCCACCAGATTCCTCCGTCTGACTTGGTTCCCTCCATCCCCAGGACTCTAGCCACATTGATCTGCTCTCAGATCCTCGAACAACTTATTTCTTCTACCTTTCCCTTTCCCCCTCTTCCCACGTGCCTTTCTCCCGTTCATAATCATCTTTCAGAGCTCCAGGCACACGCCACTTCTTGTCTAGATCATACCCCACACTCCACAGTCTTTCCTGGTGATGCTTATCATAGTGTGCAATTACACATTTAAATGCGTGGCTCCCTGACTGCCTCCCCCACTGGACGAGAGCTCCATGAGAACTGGGACCATGTTGGCATCCGTTCACTACCATATCCCCAGGGCCTAGAGCAATGTCTGGAACGCTGAGAAAAAGAAAGAACTTGTGTTTTTCATCATCAGAAGTTTTTGTATTGTTTTGTTTTTAGATGAAATCTGCTAATCTCTTCAATTTGGAATCTATTAAGACAGTTCCTGATTTCAAATTCCTGTGCCACCTGCTATTGTCACTAACAATAACCAAACGAATTAATATTTAACATGTTTTGAGTGTTTACTTTGAGTCAAGCATTGAGCTGTGTTCATTACATGCATATATAACTCCTGCAATGGCCACTTCAGGTAGACACTATCCTTATCTATATTTACGCATAAAGAAAATGAAGCTTAGAAAACTCAAGGTCACACCACTTGTCAGTGGTATGACCTGGAGCCCAACAGGCTCCATCAGACTCCAGAGTCCGAGCTCATAACCGCTGAGATTTACTGCCTCCCGCAGACTTCCTTCTTCCTTTCCTTTTTTCTTTTTTTTAGGACTGCAACCCACTTTGCAGTGGAACAGGAAATTATGGTGGGTTTAGTGCAGAGTTGGGGGGTGAGTAGAGATAGAAGACTAGATAGCTACAAAAATGGAAGAAAGGCATGAGAAGAGGGAGGAAAGCTGCTCTGTTCCTTCTAGGGACATTTCACAGTTCCCTTTAAGGTTTTGGTTTCATCACATCCTAAATATTTCCACACGCTTCGCAGGTACTCTGTAGTAAACCAACCTCGTGACCCATTTTACTGTCACTCTCCATAAATTCTCATTGAACGACTCCTATTTTCTCAGATTCCTCTTTCCTCTGAACTCTTAACAGTTCGTGAAGCATGCCACAAAGCTTTGTACTTAAATTGTATGCTTTCTCCATAAAACAATTGTACAAAACAACAACAAATTCTGGTATATTTTCTGAACCTGCCCAATGAAGAAGATTGACCTTAGAGGTCACTTAGCCCACCTGCTTTCCCAGCAGCAATAAAACAAACAAAATAAAACAACACTAACAAAACAAATGAGCCATACCTTCAGTTCAATGGACAATATTAGTCCATTGTTGCAAATTTAGTCATTTGTGAATAGTATCATGTTAAATGTTTGCTCAGAGATGGTCTGGTTAGTTTTCCAGTTTATGCCAAATCTTGTTAATATCCCCACTTTGCACTAAGGAAATGGAGGCACAGGGAGGCTCTGATTTGCCCAGGAACTCACAACTAGTACTTGAGTTCTACTCACATCCTGGGGCTCGAATTCCACCGCAGCTCCATCGAGGCCCAAGTTTACCTCCATTTTACACTCACCGGGTTTAATTATAGGAGGCAAGTCTTGTTTCTGGAGCATGTTAGCACAGGATGGAATTTCTCAAGGAGCTGGTAAAGCCATGTGAAAAGCCATATTTGGTCATGCTGAATTTGACCTTTGTACTTTGTGTGAAGAAAGACTTTTCTACACAAAATAATAGTGCAAACCAAGGAGAAGGTGATGACAAACTGCTTAAGTATTTCATTACTTTCTGCAGAAATAGATGTCTCTATGAATAAATTTTATCAATTTATTGAGGCTGTATAATAGCAGAAGGTTTTGTTGTTGTCTCAGCACTTTTAACATTTGTTAGCAAATGTGTGATTTGCTCCGGCCAGTATAATGAGGGGATTACCAAAAATAAATCACTATTTTGGAACTCTCCCACTAAAAGACAAAAGGCATTGGCCAGAGCAAATGTGTTAGGTTAAGGCTCCTAGAATGTGTATGAAGAGGCCATCTGTGTGTGGGGTCCAGCACAGACTTGCCTGTTTCTCTGTGATCCCTGACTCTGACTATCTGAAACCGTGAAATTAGGACTTCTTTTAAAACACTTAAGATTCAGTTTATCATTAATCCACAATGGGCTTTCCCTGGTTAGGCCACTCTTCTCTGTACTATGTTTTACCAATAAGATAAGCTTATAGGGGAATATTTCCAATATTGTCTTTGCTGTCATACACAGTACTTAATGTATTAAGGAGAAAGTACTCTTTTATTTATCTTTTCCCAGTGTAAACGGAGGTTTCATTCTATTTAGAGATATTTTGGTTATTGAAATGAAGACATTATTTTCATTTGAATCATGGCACAATTACGGCGACTTAAAAAATGTCTTTGCTATCTTAGGCTTTGGCAAAACAAGCCAAGATTGATTTTGAAGAGCAAGCCATCAGAGAGAAGGCAATTCATGAGCAGATTGCTGTGGAAAGAGCTCAAGCCCGTTACAAAAAGCATTATTTAATATGTGCAGAAATTTTGGATCAAATACTTGATTTGTCCACTAAAGTGGCAGACTATCGAATGTTGACAAATAAGTAAGTATTGTTTTTTTTATAATTAATGTAATAGAGATACCACATAGAATGAGAAAGGATAAGATTATAAAGTGGACACAAGGTTAATAATTGAAGGGAGACAAAAATGTTTCACGAAAGGAAAACTAAGGAGGATCCAGAGAACCTCGATCACTGACCTAACTCACCCACCGAGTAGCCTTATTTAATGTGTATTTATGTGTCTTTTAACATTTAAATTCTATATCTAAATTCTCTATAATTTACTAAGACAGCTAAGATCATTTATCTGAAACACTCAGAACTTCCTAGAAGACTGGAATTATTTGAAGATTATCTTACTAATTAATGCTATTTATTTTTATTGCACCTTGTTTCTAAAAAGAATCAAAGTATGAGTAAGAAAATATTCGGTGAAACAAAAATTTTAAGAATATACCAAAATAAAAACAAAGGAAAATTCAAATTAAAGTAGAAAGTTAACAAGGGAATTTGTCTATTCTAAGTACCTCACGTAAGTGGAATCGTACGGTATTCTTCTGTGTCTGGCTTATTTCATCTAGTGTAATGTCTTCAAAGTTCATCTATGTTTAGCCTGTGTCAGAATGAAATACTACTTTTTAAGTTGTATTTTCAAGCTCTCGTCTATTTTTAGAGAAATGCATCTGAACCACATCAGTCTCTTTTATTCCTTTGCACATTTTGTTCCTTTTGGAACAGTTTTACTATTACTCTGTCTGGTTACCTCCTAGTCATTCATCATACTTAAATAGAAATAATTACTGAAAAATAATTTTAAAGTTTACCAAATGTGCTATAACAATAAGACTACCATCCATTGGATTTTCTGTTGCAAATTATTTGCAGACATGTAAACCATTTTGTCATCTTAAAGGAGTCTTGGAAAGTGTTCAGTCTGTTCATTTTGCGTAGAAGAACACCAACACTAGAGCATTTAAATAACTTCCTAATGTTGCTCAGCTATTTAACATCACAGCGGGGAATCCAAAAACCCAAGCATTATGATAGTGCTAATTATTTTTAGATGCATTGCTCTGTCAGTGCATAGTCAATAACGAAGTTGGAAGTGGCTTTAAGTAGCATTCATTCATTTAAACCTGCTAAGTTCTAGACATTTTATTAGTCATCAGAAATATAAAAGCAAGTAGAATTCCTAGTCTCAAACAGCAGACTTGCAGAATGAGTATGAGAATAGAAAGACTAAGGTTTAAGACTAAGGTATATTTGACTAACCATTGATTTACCTCTACCTTTTTTTACTATTATTTTTCCTGTAGTCTGATTCCATATAAGCTGATGCATAATTGGAAGGAACTCTTTCTAAATGGAAAGCCCATATATGAGCAAGCCTCTATTAAGCATCTATCAGCTAAGCCCTCTGCAGAACAACGTGTAGAACTGGAAAAAAGGGACTTGCTAGATAACGGTGATTATGAGGAATATAAGGTACAAACTAATATGTAATAATCAGAGAGAATTCAACATAATAAATGGTGTTTTTTAATGCTAATTTTGTGATATTATTTTATTTTATTTCTATTAATGAAATGGGCATTTTGTGTTTGCATTTCCCTTGGTTTAATTTGTATTTATAGTACTCTTTTTTAAATGCCTAACTATTCATAGTCTATTATCTGTTACTTCCAGTAATATTAGAAGAGTTACCTGAAAAAAAAATCAAATGTAATACATTGGGCAGATAGATTTCAAAATTTAAAAAATATTTTAAATTTATTCATTAGCAGTTTTCTTTGTATGAGTTGTCTTGTCCTTGTTAAAGGTATTTTTTAAAATTTTTTTGTTAATAGTATATCATTTTTGGAGGCAAATGGAAGAGGAAGAGGCCTGAGCTTTATGAGTTGTATAGATTCCAACAAAATTTTATTCAGAGATTAAAAAAAAAAGGTATCGGGTAACAATTTTGCTTCTTAGAAGAGCTGCTGAAAAGCTTTTGGGGTTAGACAGACCCCAGAATATCTTATCTGGCTTAAGTGGTCTTTCACAGGGTGTAGAGGGACAACACAACCTGGTTTAGAGGTCTCATCATCGGCACTGCCAGCTGCTAGCAGTGCAAGATCTTAGGCAGCCAGTCTCGTAAGTTCTGAGAGACTCAGTTTCCCAATTCATCAACCTTATTTTGTTGTTGTGAAACTTAAGGTAATATGTATTACACGGTAAGCCAGGTGCACTCACTGCATGTTGGATGCAAATAATACATGTCGGTTTCTTTCCTCACCGTCCTGCTCTCTCCACCCCACTTTGTCCCACCTTTAGGAGAAAAGAGGTAAAATTAATAGCTGTTGGATAGAAGTTCTGGGGAGATCAACAGCAATGGAATAAAGAACGAGGCTTTTTTATTATTAGAAATATTGAATGAGATTTAGAAGGGTAGTGAGTGCAACATGGAAAAAAAAAGAGAAGGAAAGCTGATTTGGCCCAATCGTTTGCTGATATTTAGCAAACACTCAATAAATGTTTGTTGAAAGGATGCGTGAATAAAATAACGAATGATAATGAACAGAGCAAAGTGTAAAATAGCACGAATATGTAACCATTGAAAGAAGATAAGCTTATGAAAAAAGATAGGGAAAGCAAATGAGATTGTGAGAAACTAAATGTACACTGTGTTTTAACTGGATGAATCTGTATTTGTATTACTAAAAAAAAATATTATTTATTAAGGATTGACTAGAATCTTACAGGATTATGTGTATATTTATTTTGTTTGGTTGTAGATTTTACTAGATCTAGTGTGTCAACCTAAAGTCTAATGCTTCATAATAAAATTCTCCACAGTATCCAGCGAGGTAAAGCTATTTCTTTCCATTGTAAGTAAAAGTCATTTTATTTGACAGATTTTGCTGATTCATGGAATATTGATTTCTAAGTTATTTCTCAAACATCTCTATCTACTATATTCTTGTTGCTCATAAATAGGAGACCTGGTAGTCTGCAGCCTAGCAAAGATTTGTCTTTTTAACTTTTTTTCTTGTTTGGGAAATTGTTACCACCGGAACATGCTTGTCTTACCCACATCCTGAAGCAGCTGGTACATTTCTTTTGCAGGAAATCGTAAACTTTCGTTAGGAGTATGTGAACGTCTGGCAGTGCAGTTTATTTTGTTTATATAGCCTTTCCTGTTTTTCTAGAAGTGAAAATTACCTGAGGATTTCTGATTTACACTCTGCTCCTTTTGACTACATGATAGAAAATATACCACACACAGATGTTAGGATATATGTACTGTAAACTATCCAATTATTCATTCCCTTATTGCTAGAGCTTTTTTTTTTTTTTTAATCTCTTCAGGATCTTGTTAAGTGTTCCTGCAATGCAAGTGAAAAATAAATGTTTGAACTTGTAAAATATATTATCTGGCTTAAGTGGTCTTTCACAGGATGTGGAGGGACAACACAACACGGTTTAGCTAAAGGAAACAGTTGTCCATTTTTCTCATTGCTAAATTTGCCCAACATTTTTAATCCTTCAACTAAATGCATAACTTGCTAATTAATCTTCAGAAGTTTTACATCCTTAGCATACTTTATTGATGCCCATAAATACCATTTTTAAAGAACCGATACCTCCTGGATTTGAGCCTATACTTTTAAAGCTCTATTAGAGTAAACTATCATTCTTAACATTTTTAATTTTTACACCTAGAAATTGGTATAAAACAAATTTTTACTGATGTATATATCAGATGTAGCTGATGAATATTTGACTCTTATTTCTTAACATTATTTTCTAAATCATCACATGCTATTTATAGAATGGCTGCATGTGAGGTGCTTCAGTTCAGGAGTAGTATAGCCAGAAATATCATTCATTACTCCTAGGCAGGAGGCAGGAACAGCAACATGGAACAGGTAGGATCCCACTGGGATTCCCAGGCAACAGCCATAGGATAACAATGAGTTATGTAATAGACAGGCATTGGCTTCGAGCCAGAACAGTCTGCAGCTCAGCATGGAGGTGAAGGAAAGTTAACTTCTGCCTTTCCCTGGTTGCTTTGTACTACGTTTATACTTCTTGGCAACAGATATGTGGCCCAGACTGAGCACTGTAGCTCAGAAGCATGTAGAGGCATACCTTCTCTCTGGAGGTACAGCTAACCCGCCAACATCAGTGAGAGGTGTACATCCCATGCCTGCAGCTCCTCTGAAATCTAAAGGCTGGATTGTCTGGTAGAAAGGTGTGGCCAGGTAGTTAACCATACCGTGACCTGACTGGAGGTCACGTGACTTAGAAAGGCTACCAAGCTCACTTAGCAGAGCCAGTTCATCTTTTCAAGTTGTTCTGAGACCTTTAAACTGGGCTCCAATACAGATCCCAACCCATGACAGCTCCTGGGTGAGAAGTCAGAATTTAGTTACACATCAGCTAACTGCCTTCTCCTCTCTTCCTCCTTGTTAAGGGAAGGACAGGACAGTATTCATTCTTCTCACTGGAACCTTGCTATCAAACAGGGCCCATACAATGGTCAAGAAGCCCACCAGAGCTGCCAGGTTACGTGAGATAAACTTTCTATCAGTTAAGATACCCAACCACCCTTTCAATTACCATGTATTGAGCCTATACTATTGATTGATTTATTAATGTAATCAATTCATATTGAGTGCCAGCTATGTGCCAGCACTGTTCTAGGTATTGGGGATATAAAGCTGATTAAGATGGAGATCCTTCCTGCACGGTGCCCACAGTTTAGTGAGGGTGAGAGAGAAACCATTGCAGAGCATGATGTTAAATGTGGACAAGCACAGGAGATCATGGGGACCCACTGGAAGAGGTGAATTTCCAGCCAAGTTTAGTATGCATAGGCATCAGTTAGTTTAAATGTATTAACTCAAAACTAAGTTATGTATTATTAACCCTATGAACTGTGAGCTTATTTTTATACTCTCCCTAACTTTGTATTTTTTTTTCCACGACTTCATTTAATTTCAAACATGTAGACCAAACTAAGCTCAGGAAGTATATTTTGAGTATCTAAGAGTCACCTACCTCATCAAAATATTTTAGTAACTGCTGAACATATCAATCTTGGGCATATTTTAAAAATGTTAAAGGGAAATATGTGGTTGTCCAATGAATTAGAATATTATAAATGGGAGATTGGGTTGTTCCTGGTTAAGACATCATTTTCTGCCCAAATTATCTCATCTCTCATTTACTAAATTTTCCTTAGGATACAATTTAACTGTTGATTGGTCTATTTTCCAAAAGGCCTGAAGTTTCGCTGCATTTTGAATAAGTATACCTGATATGATTCGATGAGTTTTTAGTGATTTATGAAACAAAATTTAAAACAGTAATTGTACAAGAAATTATTTTCTAAGATACTATAAAATAAGCAACCCATAACTCAGATCTAAAAGAAATCACACAATAAGATATAAAGATGTAAAAAAAACTGTATCTTTATTATCAATTATGAGAAATTGCACCTGGAATTATATTATTATTTTAAAAATATACTTTGATAAATAAATACGCACTTGGTAACTTTCTAGGTCGAGTCGCTGTTAGTATAAAGTTAAGGATTTACTCTCCTATTTGTAAATATCTAAGGGATGATTCCAAAATGGTGCTTAGATACAAAAATACCCTTTATTTTTTGTTTTTAAGAGAGTGGATTGAGAACAGATTGTGAAATTAATTTATGGGTCACAATCATCACTTAATTTTTAAAAATAGAAACACAACAAAATGAATATGATGCAATGCAGTACAATAGAAAATAAAGCACATCACCAGTAGTAAGGATAAGTATTTCATAAAGCCTTTTTTCTATTTTATATATAACCGCACACAAATACCGGGTAACAATATAAAATATATTTTTTATGGAAGGTCCTGGCCAAAAATATTTGAAAGCCACCATCTTAGAAGATGCAGAACAAGTGGTAATTGTGCTCCAAGAGAGGCTGGGCAGGTCAAAAAGTGCTCACAGGGGTTCACACCAATAAAAAATGGAAAACGTTGGTGAAGTGGAAGCCTTGAATAGCTAAAGAAAAGTCCATCATGAAGAACATAAATAGAATGTCCCCTGGAATTTGAGAATTGGTAATAGCTACTACGACCCCTGAAGCTGCAACTACAAACCTTAGTTGTATTTCAGGTATGGCAGACTTTCTTCTCTTCCTCACTTCCTGCCATGGTGTGCCAAGAAAAGCCAGTCACAGTGGATGCAGAATTAGGCAGCTTGCATGTCTTGGTAGGACAGTGTTGTGGTGTACTCTAAAAGGGGCATAGCCTCATTTTGTGGAGTCACTACATGTGGTGTTTCTTGAAGTCAATTTATCAGAAGCTTCTACTCTAAGTTCTTAGGCCATTGTACCAGGGTAATCTGTCTGTCATTGGGTTTTATTACATATAGGTTAAAAGATTGTATTTCAAGGAACTCCAAGGAAACTATGCTATCAAAAACAGCATAAGCGTAGTAT